GGTTAGGAAGTTTTAATGCATCCTCCATACTGTTTGGTCTTGGTACCAAGTGATTATTATTATTATTTTCCTGCATTGCAAAATTTCTTCAATCATACAAAATTGATATCTAGGTAGGATTGTGAAAATCGGCAACTAGAGTTTTTTGCAATTAGGTAGCAGGACCTTTAAAATGGCAAGGAATCATACAACAAAACGGTGCATATTTGGACATACTGAAGCGATACTGAAGATAAAGTCCTATAAGAGGACAGTTCGAAAAGTTCTTAGCCTAGCACAAAAATCGCGGTATAAACAGAAAAGAGTTAAGTGTTTTGGAAACATCTATGTCTGTTATGAACACATGATTAATTTTGTTTCGATCTGGCAACTCCTTCATATAGAAACAGGTATTCAAAAAAGACGCATCCGCAATTTTTTTTATTTGTTTCCATAGAAATTCGTCCTTTTGAAGGTCTTTTGTGTACTGAAGACTGTCTGTTTACCCTTTGAAGGTCGCCAGTCTATAAAAGAAATTTTTAATTGGTTCCGTCTAAAATAGGCTCTTTGAATCTACTTTTAGTTTATATAAGTACTTTTTATGGTATTCTGTGCGGAGAACCTCATTTAAGGGTCTTCTTTTTTAAAGTATTCTGTCTACTGAATGCCTTTGTTTACCTTTTGAAGGCTTTAGTCTGTGAAATAACACTTGAATTGCTTCGGTCTATAGAAAAAATGACATTCAGTTTATAGAAGTCCTTTTGAAGGTATTTTGTTCGGAGAACTTCTTTATGGGGTCTGAAATTTTTTTTGGGTCTTTTGTCTATGGAAACTTATTTGAATATCTTCTCCCTTTTGAATTCCATTTTAAGGTCTTCTGTCTATAGAAGTAAGGTCTATGTAAGGTCTCTTGTCGATAATACACTTTTTTATGTTCTTTTGTCTATATAACCCATTTTCAAGATTTTATTTCAACAGAAGACCTTAAAGAGGTCTAAACAGTACACGTTAAAGGGGTTCTATCTATAGAAGGCCTTTTAAGGGTCTTTTGTCTATATAAGATTTTTTAAAGGTCTTCTGTCTATAAAATAGGTTTTATATAGGTCTTTTGTCTTTAGATACCTTCTTTGAACCTCTTAGATTTGATCTGAAATAATTTTGGAAGGCCTTACAAAGCTCTACAACAGCCAAGATACCTTGCATATGTCCTTTGGGAGGATTTCAGTAGATGACATGCACATGCAAGTCATTGGGAGGGGTTTTACAGTGAGTGTTTCTTCTGTTTATAGAAGATGTCTTCCGTCTTTTGAGACCCCCTTTGAACCTCCCATATGTCTTCTATTTATAGAAAAAATTGACAGCCTTGTGTCCAGCATAGTCCCATCTTCTACACATAGAAACCCTTCCAAAGCTTTTCTACACATAAAATATCGTGCAGATGTCTAATATAGATGGAGGACCTTCCAACAGCCCTTCCCTTGTACGAAGAGCTTTTAAAAGTCGTTCACAGGTTTTCTATATCTGATAGATATTTTGGTGGTGTTCAAAGACGATTAATAATGAAAAACAATATCAGCCAGTACATATAGGCTTGCAGCACCATATACTTATCATTAAATTTCACATCAACAAATCGCATGGGGACAGGGCAGACCCCTCAATACCTTCACAAATTCTGTCATTTAGGTCTTTAATATATATATATAATATAATTTAATATATACGTAGCTGTTGGTGTAGTTTTGGCTTGCAGGACAATATCCTTATAATTAAATTTCACATTAACAAATTGCAAGGTGACCTGCCCTATGTTCTCAATAGCCTCACAAATACTGTCATTGAGGTCTTTAGTATACACTGGGCTGTTCTTGTAGTTTAGGCTTGCAGGCATGTATATCCTTATGATTAAATTTCACATAAACAAATCGCAAGGTGACTGCCCAATGTCCTCAATAGTCTCACAAATTCTGTCATTGAGGTCTCTAAAAGACACTAAAAGCTGTTCGTGTAGTTATACCCAAAGGAAGAAGTGTTAAAACGCCAGATATCGATGGCCAATTATGTATGTTCACCTCTTTCAGAGAAAATGCGGTCGGAAACTTCTGACGCAAAATAACGGCGGGTCCCATATAAAAAACAGAAATTTACATTGAAAAATGGGGGAACAATATCATGGTCCTATACTAAAAAAAACTTAAAATGATTCGAATTACCAAATTACATCCGCTTGAGCTGTTGACGATTGTTTTTCTTTGTTTATTAGCATCTGCATTTTATTCAAAAAATCTAGTTTTCTAAGGCCATATATTTATTCTTTAATAAAAATAAAAATGTTCCATATTTTATACAAAAAAAGACATAATTTATTTTTTCAGCCACGTGGACTTTTCCACCTATCTATTAGTTGTGCAGGGTATAGCACATGCTGTTCCAATCGACTACACTGCTTTACTGGCATTAAACAAAAAATTGAGTCGATTTTTTAAATATCCCTGAACTTTCACATAATGCTAATTTTCTCCTACCTACCATAATTGTATGTATGTATTGTCCGAATGTAATAAAACTTCAGAATTCCCTCTGATCATTGCTGCAAATATTATAAAAATCGGATAAGTATTCGCCGAGTTATTTGCATTTGAATTAAACGATCATCCGAAACATACTTACTGTTCGGTGCTGTTCACCTATTACCTGAAAATGAAAAACGCCACAAAAATCGTTCTTTTAAAAGTGGAAAGAAATTGGTTTTCTTCTTCTTATTCTCATAGCTGAAACTACACACACTTTTAAAGTGTACATACAAACAAACACACATCTCCACAGACTTTTTTGTTGGCCTAAAGATATGCTATAATTTTCGTTACAAACCAGCTGGCGGCGGCAGAGACCAAAAATTTGCTACACACACTTTTGCAAAAATTGTCGACATTTATCGATAACTATTGAAACATTTTTGGTATACAATGTGTCTCGACGATGCGAAGATTTCTTCGTCATAGTTTTTGTTGACGACTGAAGCGTTTGAACATTTTTTTTTTGTTTGTTCTAGAATCTATTCAATACTTAATGCAAAATAAAGTGTAAATAAAGAAAAATATATTTTCATATAAATCTAACCAACCAGCAGGCGGCGGCATGGTGACATGTAACTTGATTGCTATATAATTCTATATTTTGGAAGATCAATTTTTGTGCGAAGTGATGTCGAAAGAGAAACGTCGTCGACAACGACGACATATGGAATAGGGGTGATTGATTTTTGTGTGGTTTTTCATTTTTGGGTAATAGGCAAACAGCACCGAACAGTAGGGATATTTCGGGTGATTGTCGAATTCAAATGCAAATAACTCGGTGAATACTTAACCGATTTTTATAAATGTTACAGCAATGATTAAAGGGAATTGTAAAGTTTTATTACATAGGGACAATACATACATACAACTATGTTATTTAAGAGATAATTGGCATTATGTGAAAGTTCGCGGATTTGTAAAATATCGGCAATTTTTTGGTAAAAGTCAGCAAAGTTCACAGCCTGATTAATAAATGGATTGTCAGTGGCTCAGAAAGCATCCCAGAGTCCCGGTATTTTAGTAGAACTAAACTAAATGAAGTGGATGCTGTAATTTGGTATTTCGGGTCTTTAAAGGCACCATATGAAAAAAAATTTTTTTTTTTCGATTTTTCTGAAGGCAATAATCCCATTTTAATGTAATTTCACATAATTGGTATTTCGGTGGAGGAAAAAGTTTGTTTTCGATTTTTTCAAGGTCATAGTTCGTATGTTTTAATAATTTGCCATTTCTGTTTCCCAGTGAATAAAAAGGCCCTTCTAGAAGAGATTTTCAATTCAAGTCCTTATTTTGACCTAGCCATACTGTCAAGGTAACAACAACCCAAGTCGGGTTTTCGACATATTTACCATATAAAGGTCCCTGAGTACATTTAGAAGAACTTCTATGGGAATAAAAGTTCCCTGCAAGCAATTTTCCTTTCCATAGAAGTTCTTTTGAAGGTCATATGACTACAGAAGACCCTTTGAGAGCTTTGTACTTATAGAATGCCCTTTAATTGTTATTTGCCTAGTCCATAGAAGAATATCTTTCAAAGGTCTTCTACCTATAAAATACCTTTTGAAAGATATCCTTAAAATTGTCAGCCATCAAATTTTTATTGTATCTCAGCTTAAAGTTTATACATTTTTTATTAAACTTCCTCAACATTGTCACAAAAATTTTCTTTACAATATCAATCTTTAAAAAAAATACAATTTATGTCTGTTAGAAAAAAAAAGAAAAAAATAAATAACATTTAATTTATTTCAATAAATTAAATAAAAAAATATACAAATTGAGACGAAACAATAAATAATATAAATACAAAAAAATTAAAATTAAAACAAAAAAACTATTTACTTTTACTCTTCTTCTTATTTTTTGGGTTTTAAGCATTACAATGTAGTTTACATGACAAAAAAAAAAAAAATAAATACGTTTACAAATAATAATAACAAAATCTACATCTCAAAGACAAACAAAGAAAAGGAAAATCTAATAAAAAAACAAATGAAAATGTAAAAGAAAATTAAAACAAATACATTTTCTTTCTTAAATAAAGTTATTGAGACTTAAATTAAGGAGTAAAGAAGGGTAAGTACAACAAAGAAGAGTAAGTCCATATTATATGTATAAATATAGGTGGGTATTCTTGGCAAAGATGGCTTGCCTTAATTGTCAGTCTCTTCGTGTATTTTTTACATTGACGATATGTAAAACTAAATTTACAAATAAATACAGTAAAAGGAGCAGGACACATAAAAGGACTTTTGGGACGGCTCCTTTAAGTTGATTGTTTTTAATTTAATTTTAATGTCTTCTTTATTTACTTCGCAATTGCAGCCAAATTATCAAATGTCAACTTATTAAGCCATAATTGATTTCTTTATTCTTTTCGATATTACAAACCCAACTTAAATACAAAAGCCGAATCCTTTTATGTGCCTCCCACTTGAATTTTTTCAATTATTTATCATAGAAATAATTTTCCGATTCGATGGGAAATTTATCACCCACTGCCTGATGTTGTTGCAATTTACCGGCAATCTCTTTCCATATGCTACTACATTGACTTAGCAGCTCCAAATTTCCAATACAATACATGGCATGTTTGGCCCGAGATAAGGCCACACAAATGCGATTACTTTGTTTGAGGAAACCAATTTGTGAAGTTGTATTACTGCGTACCAAGGAGAGGATAACAATATTTGATTCCAAACCTTGGAAACTGTCGACAGTGCAAGCTTTAAGTTGTTGTAGGGCGGCATGTTGTTGTAACTGGAAAGAAAGAAAGAAACAATAATTTATTAGAAAAATGACTTAAAAATAATAAAAAAATAACTAATGTCGAATCGGACCTACTATATGATACCCTACTCCACTTTGGGTATGCTCTATATACCTAAAAGTACCGTCTTTCAATCAAAAATCTTAGCAATCACGAAGCCAGATGATTAATTCAAAGAATCCTAGGTATAAATAAATAACCTAGGACGATGAAGTGGCGAACTATAAATTCAAAAGCAATCCATGACTGTAGAGTTGCTGTGCCAATAGCCCGGAAATTAAATAGCTGGAGAGACGGAACTTATGCCGATGAAGTGGCGAACTATAAATTCAAAAGCAATCCTGGTCTTCGTCTCAGAAGTATGACTCACTAACGCTAATTTTCCAGACTTGATTCGAACGGATCCTTGTCGATCCAGGTTGCCAGTCGTTGTAATATGGTTAAGCTAAAATATCTAACTTCTTCGTCTACTAAATCCACCTTTTCCTTTCCTCCTTCACTTTTCTATATTCTCCCTTTTCAGGTACTCAGGGTGAGCACAATAGTTGTTGTAGCAGCTTCTAGTGCTGTGTATTTTCACTTTAATCTGGCTCTGCTTCTAACTCCAAGTTCAAAAAAGATACGACTGTACTGGTTATGTTCACAATGAGGGTTGCCTGGACAGCTGAAGAGGTGTAGCGTGTAATGTGGAACATTACCACATGACGGTTAGATATAGTCCACCGTTTCATCGATTCGGGTCCAATATGAAATGAGGCGGCTACACCATCCAGATCTCTGTTGTATCAAGACCACTCTGGTTTGTTGCTGTTGATGTAGAAACTTGTACTGCTTTGTATTTCTCCTTAATCTGGTTCTGCTTCTAACTTCAAGTTCAAGTTGTGTCCAAAGTGAATATGAGGTTAGATGCTTAGATGTTATGTGGAGAATTACCACATGCCGACCAGATATTGTTCACCGTGTCCTCAATTCGTACCCAATATGAATTGAAGTGGCTACACCATCCAGATCTCTGTTGTGCCAAGATCACTCTGGTTTGTCGTGGTATCTGGCGGGTTTTCTCCGAGGAATGTATTCACACGATATTCTCCTATTGCTTCCTTAACTGCATCAGTGGGAATACAAATCAATCCGTCTCTCCAGATCATGAATATCCTTCCTGGCATGCCTAAGTGGTGGTTGTCAATCCATTAGGTAATGATTTGGATGGCTACTTCTATGCATCGACAACATCTTGTTGTGTTGACGCACAGGAAGGAAACTCATTCTACCCACTATCAAGGTGTGTGCTGTAGGATATAAAAATTCTAATGAATATTTGTCACTCACCTGTTTCCTTATCATATCAATTTGTCTGGCATATGGACTTAGTATTTGTATATCTTCGATATCGTACAAAGCATTCTGTACTAAATGCAATGCCAATTGGACAACTTGTGTCACTTCGTAGGGATTATATAGCGACGAATCTTGTTCGGTTTTCGCCTCTGGTTTATTATGTGTCATAAAGAATAGATTTGTTGACATTTGTCGTATGGCCGGATAATGGCTAACACTATCATCACTATCCAAATCAGTGTAAATTGTGTTCGATAAAAGATCGGCAATTTTTGGATGCATGCGATATTGAGTACGTAAAACAATTGGTTTGCTATATTTCGAGAATATTCTCTCGAAGAGGGAAATATTCATTTGTGATTTTTGTTGTAATTGATAATTGGAGGTATACGGCTGTAATTGTTGATGATCACCGATCATAATGACATGTTCCGTATAGGGAGTTAGACAAGCCACTATGTGGGATTCTAAGATTTCAGCTGCCTCCTCGAAGATAACTAAGAGAGAGAGAGAGAGAGAAATAGTATAAGAAATAATAATCTGATTTAAATTTGTTCATACTCACCAATTTTACTTTTCAATAGACGGAACAAAAAATTAGTTTTGGCAGCACACGTCGTGGTCATACCAATAATCGCCTTTTCTCGGGCCACATAATATTGAAACATTGTCTTAAGTGTCCTTAGCTTCTCACTAACCTCAGCTAATCGTCGTTGGGCCTTTAATATTTCCCCATACGTGTCATCGGTACCATCAAATTCACGATGTTTTTGTTGAAGATAACCAAAAGCCTCTTTAAATTCTATATTACAGAGATAATACAAACGTTTCAATTTGGGATTTATCATGGTATGCTCCACAACATCTTTCACGTTATATTTAGCAATTCGTGGATCTCTCGTTTGACTACCAAATCTCACAATATTCTCTGTAAAGGGCGAAAGCTTAACCAAAAACTTATCCAACGACTCATTGGTATAGGTAATCAAAATTAATGGTGTCTCAGCATTCTCTATAAGGGTTTTAACTATTTGCACTGAGAGATATGTTTTACCGGTACCAGGTGGTCCCTGTATTAGAGCAAATTCCTGCTTTAATGCTTTGGAGAACGCTTCCAATTGTGAGGGATTTAATTCTAGGGTATCTTTATCGGGGGACTCTGTTAAGGGATGGAATTTTTGTCCATTACATTCATATATGGTATCTTTTGTAAGGTATTTAGGTTCTGCCTAAGTGGTGGTTGTCAATCCATTAGGTAATGATTTGGATGGCTACTTCTATGCATCGACAACATCTTGTTGTGTTGACGCACAAGAAGGAAACTCATACTACCCAGTATCAATGTGTGTGTTGTAGAATATAAAAACTCTAATGAATATATGTCACTAACCTGTTTCCTTATCATATCAATTTGTCTGGCATATGGACTTAGTATTTGTATATCTTCGATATCGTACAAAGCATTCTGTACTAAATGCAATGCCAATTGGACAACTTGTGTCACTTCGTAGGAATTATATAGCGACGAATCTTGTTCGGTTTTCGCCTCTGGTTTATTATGTGTCATAAAGAATAGATTTGTTGACATTTGTCGTATGGCCGGATAATGGCTAACACTATCATCACTATCCAAATCAGTGTAAATTGTGTTCGATAAAAGATCGGCAATTTTTGGATGCATGCGATATTGAGTACGTAAAACAATTGGTTTGCTATATTTCGAGAATATTCTCTCGAAGAGGGAAATATTCATTTGTGATTTTTGTTGTAATTGATAATTGGAGGTATACGGCTGTAATTGTTGATGATCACCGATCATAATGACATGTTCCGTATAGGGAGTTAGACAAGTCACTATGTGGGATTCTAAGATTTCAGCTGCTTCCTCGAAGATAACTAAGAGAGAGAGAGAGAGAGAGAGAAAAATAGTATAAGAAATAATAATCTGATTTAAATTTGTTCATACTCACCAATTTTACTTTTCAATAGACGGAACAAAAAATTAGTTTTGGCAGCACACGTCGTGGTCATACCAATAATCGCCTTTTCTCGGGCCACATAATATTGAAACATTGTCTTAAGTGTCCTTAGCTTCTCACTAACCTCAGCTAATCGTCGTTGGGCCTTTAATATTTCCCCATACGTGTCATCGGTACCATCAAATTCACGATGTTTTTGTTGAAGATAACCAAAAGCCTCTTTAAATTCTATATTACAGAGATAATACAAACGTTTCAATTTGGGATTTATCATGGTATGCTCCACAACATCTTTAACATTATATTTGGCTATTCGTGGATCACGAGTTTGACTACCAAATCTCACAATATTCTCTGTAAAGGCTGAAAGTTTAACCAAAAACTTATCCAACGACTCATTGGTATAGGTAATCAAAATTAATGGTGTCTCAGCATTATCTATAAGGGTTTTAACTATTTGCACTGAGAGATATGTTTTACCGGTACCAGGTGGTCCCTGTATTAGAGCAAATTCCTGCTTTAATGCTTTGGAGAACGCTTCCAATTGTGAGGGATTTAATTCTAGGGTATCTTTATCGGGGGACTCTGTTAAGGGATGGAATTTTTGTCCATTACATTCATATATGGTATCTTTTGTAAGGTATTTAGGTTCTGTAGTTGGATGCTCTTCTTCATCGACAATATATTGTTTCATTGGAAAATCTGAGGTAGTACAATTTTTCAAATAATTGAAAACATTGTTGTAGGGTTCAAAAAAGGCAGGTGTTTCAAACATAAGCAGTGGTCTTCTGTAAATGCTACCAATATTGTATTGCAGGGCTATTTCAATGCCAATCTGAAATATAGAAAAAAGAGAAATTAAAAATATATATCTACATTTTGAAAATCAGCGAGGATTTCTATGAATAGATGTAAAGTAGAGAGGTCCGGTTTTTAGAAACCGACGTCTGATATAGATCTTCGTTGTAGAGAAATAAGTCTTTTATTTCTAGAAAACCAGTAGACGTCTTCTACGCCTAAAAGACCAGTGGATTTCTTCTATGCCTAGAATTCCAGTATAGATTTTCTATGTTTAGAAGGCCAGTAGAAAATTTCTTTGCCTAGAAGAGAAGTTTTTTTCTACTACACCACTAGAGGTACTTTATGCCTAGATAGTAGTTAGAGGTTTCTTAGGCCTAGAAGTATTGTAAAGATTTCCTTTTTGTCCCAAGTGGTGCCAACTAAAGCTTCCAATTCCACTTTAACCTTCTATTTTCTTTGTACCCTGGTTTTGCTGCTAACTCCATGTTCAAAAAAGTTACGTCCCGTACCGGTTGTGTCCAAAGTGAAGATGGCTTTAGATGTAGGGGTTTGGCTGGCAGTTTAGATGTAGGGGTTTGGCTGTCATGTGAACCATAATCACATGCCGGGCAGATATTGTCCACCGTGCCATCGATTCGTGCCCAATATTAATTGAGGTGGCTACACCACTCAGATTTCAGTTTTGCCAAGACCACTCTGGTTTGTTTACTCAACTGCATCAGTGTGAATACAATTCAATACTTGATTTAGAGGCCACCTTTTGTCTCTGGATCTCTCCAGACCATAAAGCTCCTTCCTGACATGCCTAGGTGGTGATGGTTTGGTTGGCTACTTAAATAACACCCAAGCTGATATTGCATCGACAACATCTTGTTGTGTTGACGCACAGGAAGAATCATCGTCTCCTCATGTAAGTGGTCTATTGGAGACATGAGGAGACACCCTGTGGCGGCATTCTGGAAGGATTGAAGACTTTCCCACTGCGCTGCACTGACGTTAGCGGACCACACTGGCGCCGCATGGTTTACCACAGACTGACCTATTGCTGTGTAAGTCGTTAACAAGGGTTCCTTGTCAGCTCCCCCAGTGCTGCCGGCTAGCGACTTGAGAACCTTGTTTCTGCTCCTGACTTTATCGCAAATAGCTGTGGCATGAGCGGACGTCTTGTAAAGACTATCGAATGTGACCCCTAGAACCATAAGGTAATTGGTGGTCGGAATTGTGGACCCCTCGACCTGCACATTCAAAGATAGACGCATCTCCGCTATCCATGTGGTAAACAGTGTGGCCGTTGACTTAGTGGCGGATATTTCCATATTCCTCGACCGGAAAAAGTCTGCGATAGCCACGAGATAGTGGTTCAGCTTCTCGCAAATGTCATCAATTAAAGGTCCTGACGCCATTATCGTACAATCATCATCATATGTTACGATCTTTATGTCGTCCGGTGGGCGTGGAATTCCATAGAGGTAGAGGTTAAACAGTTCCGGAAATATCACCCCTCCTTGAGGAACTCCCTGTTTTACTCTACGGGCCTTCGACTTCCTGTATCTGAATTCCACGTACGACTGGCGTCCACACATATAGTTCACGATCCAAAGTTTCAAACTTGGCTGGAGGAATGTTCTCTCGACGTCCTCGAACAGCTTGGCGTGACTGACGGTATCAAATGCCTTTGATAGGTCCAGCGCCACCATGATTGTCCTGTTACTCGGCCTGTTCTGGTTTAGTCCTTCCATTATATGTGTGGGAATTGTTTGCAAAGCTATTGTTGTACTATGCTGCTTCCGGAATTCGTGTTGATGATCAGCAACTGCGTAGCATTTACGAATGATAGAGAGTAGCAGTCTCAAGAGTCTTAGCTAGCTTAAAGATCACCATAGAGATTCATCCAAGCGCCATAAATATTTTTCCCCAACTGATGTCATTTGCAACATCCTCCAACGTAAAGTGTTGTGGTTCCTCCTCCTCTTAAAGAGAACGTATACAACGCAATACTCCTTTCTTCGCCCTGTCACTCTTGGGGTGCTCTATAAACTGCCGTTAAAGAGACAGACGTCCGATAATCCTTCCTGGGTTCGACAGCGACTTAACCGTTGACCACAATTAACTCACACTGGTACTGATGTTACAACACTTCAGAATTTTTATCCACTTTTTCCGCTTGTGTTCGCCGACAAACCTCTTCACTTCCATTGTCAATTTTTTGATTCTGTGGTTATTAAAGTTGGTTCTAAAAAGCTCATCACGCTCCTTTGCTAATCCCGCTGCCCCCGTTGGGAAATTGGATCCTGGTGGGTATGTCCTCATTCTCAGTGCAAAACGTTGAGCTATGCCGCCTTACAAAGCTCCCATTTTGATTTAGCTATGCAAGCATTTTTGGTCACATTTTCAAATGTCTAGGCTCTAGGAATTGTGCATACATACTTCAGCGATTAGATTCGAAATTTTATCGTCTGGCACATACGAGTGGCTTCATAAGACTTAAGGACCATTTAATGAATTAATTTAAAGAACCGTACCAGTCAGTTTTTTTATAGTTCAGGACAAATGTTGGAATACGTTCAGCTATGAAATTCCATCGCCTGGAAAATACGGGTGACTTTTGAAATTCTCGCAGATTTTAAGGAGACCTTAGTCAAGTCCGTAGATCTTGAGCACTTATTAATAGATTACCCTTTAATATCATATCATAGAGGTCTTCTAAGTGCCCTTAGAGCTGTAAAATGAATTATATATTAACACAGTAAGCATACTTACATATCCCTCTTTGAGGCACTCCTGACTGGTATATGTAACAGTGGCCAAAATCAAATTATCAAAATCTCGTGATGTTGTAAAACACAGTAAGGCGCCCGATTTGATTTTCCATAGCTTATCCTGAATTTCCCATGGTATATTTGTATTACCATCATCTTCTAAATTTCGTCGACTTCCCAAAATATCCACAAACAGCAACTCATGACGATTTGCATCCAGAAATTGTTCATTCAATACAATATGGACATCTTCGAAGAGATGGAAATTATCTGGAATTTGTATTGATTTACTATCCTTTACATATCGAACACATTCCCTTAGGGGTAGGAGAAAATCTTCTTTGAGAAAATGCATGTGTTTATTTAAATATTTTTGGACGGATGGCAATTGGGACTTTGTCCCATCATCACTAACATCGAAATTGCACAATGGCGGTTGATTGCTTAAAAGCTCATCTATTGTTGGATAAATTTCCCAGGTACATGTATCGGATTTTGATGAGGTAGTTGTCGCCAGTGAATGTAGGTTCTCCTTTAATCGTTTTTTGTATTTTTTACACACGGCCAAATCACTATCACTTTTATCCAATATTTTCATGATATCCTTGAGTATATCTTCTTCCACATCAATCGGAACACATGTTGCTTCAATACTATAGCCTTGCAGAAACAAAAGTTCAATATTTTCCAATAATTCTTCCATTTCCTTCTGCTGCTTCCACATATCTTTAAAACGTTTACAAAACAATTTGGCCAACAACAGACGTAAATGTTCCTGTAAACAGATGTTCCGACGAAATGCTAGGAGTAATGTTTTTTGAAAACCCGGTAACTCCAGGCGACATATGCCGGATATAATGTTGGTATATAAAATAACTTTTTCTTGGCTGTCATTTGGCTGCAGTTGATCCGTATAGAAATCATATTCCAGCGTATGGGTATGCAGAAATTGATCTAGTGGGGACAACTGGGTTATCTTCCTCAGCTCGGCAATATTTAATTTCTTTTTGTTGGCCGCCTTGTTGCTCTTTTGTGGGTGGGATGAGGAGGCCTTTAATGTCAGCTCCTTAATGTAGGCATCTAAAAGGGATGGGGAGAATAATTAAATGTGGATACAATACTAAATCTCGCTCGGCAATTACCCAATGTATTTGTCGGTACTTTAATGCGTTCCTCCATACGCTCGGCCTCTTTGGCCTTCATATTTTTCTGCCAATCTCGCGCCAAGGCATCATCGTCCTTGTCAAACCAATCACAATCATCAGAATCGGACATTTTTCACACAATATTTTTAATATTTTTCTAGAAAAATTAAAAAACAATAACAAAAACCTACAAACTGTTGCAGCGATGCCAGCAGTGCAATGTATTATTCACCGACGCACATATGAATTGGCGTACCGTTCCTTTTAATTACAATGCCGCTTCTTAAAGTTTTGACGCCGTTGCAGAATTGAACGAAATAAATAAAATCGGACGAATCGAGGAATCAAAACAAATGAAGCGATTAGGCTTGCTCAACAATGCTGTTCATTCATCGACCGAAAAAACAATTAAAAACGTTCCAGCTGTTTACGAATTGGATGGGATAAGGCAAAATGCCCGATAAAGAAGAAGTCAAAGTGGAGTGTAAATAAACCAAAACAAAGGGATCGCGAAGCAGAAAGAAGGTAGAATGAATGCAGGTTTCTAGACATCGTTTTTGATCAAAAGAAACAGGTGTTTTGAGCGTCGATTGTCGGTACAACACAATACTGATTAATTTTGTTATAACGCATTCGTTGGGTGGCGTAGTGGATGAGAGATGCCAAGCAACGGCTCTCATTGTCTTTAACATAACAAAGCCCAGCGAATATCGATTTGGACCACTACCTTGTAGCAGCCAAGCTTCGTACCCGCCTTAATGTAGTAGCAAAGGTGCGATCTAATGTGACACGGAAACTCGACGTCGAAAAGCTACAAACACAACAGATATCCGAAGACTACTCCGCTCAACTTACTTAACTGCTTGAGGAAAGCTCTCCTTATCCCGATAATAATATAGAAGCACAATAACAGAGTACTGTCCACACCCTAAAAACTGCAGCAAAAGCAAAACTTTGGTGTCAAAAACCACCATCAGGAAACCCGTGTACGATCAGGAGTGTCTTAATGATACTGATGTGAAAAACGCAGCGTATAGGGCAACCTATACGTAATTCGAGGGAGAATAATCGTGGGAAAAGGAGGGAGGAGAAACGTAATTTCCGAAAAAAGAAATAAGAAGAAAAACCTTAGCGGGAGTAAATCGAAATGTACAGGGATCAGAATGAAGTCCGGAAATGTTAACAACAACAAAACACCAAACTGAAGGCTTTGGTGTGGACACACCCTCCTGCAGAGATGAAGATGGAAATCTGATGACAGATACAGACAGCGTGCTGAGGATCTGGAAGGAGCATTTCAAAAAACTTCTGGTATCAAGTAGTGGCGGTGAAGAGCATACCCCAGAACCAATAATAGATGACGGTATAGAGTGTATACCATCTAGCCAAGATGAGATCCGAATAGCAATTAATCGGCTGAAGAACAATAAAGAAGCAGGTGCTGATGGGAACTATTCAAGACTGGTGGTCAGATACTAGTCAGGAGCATGCACCTGCTGATTAGTACAATTTGGCTAGAGGAATGCATTCCCAATGAATGGAACCTCAGCATCCTGTAACGTGCACAAAAAATGAGACAAGACAATATGTACCAACTATAGAGGAATACGTATACTTCCCATCGCTTATAAAGTGTTGTATAATGTGCTGTGTGAACGACTGAAGTCAATAGTTAATTACATTATTGGATCATACCATTGCGGCTTCAGACCTGGCAAATCCACCATTGACCAGATTTTCGCTCTGCGCCAAATCTTTGGAAATACCCACGAAAAACAGATCGACACATTCCACCTATTCGTCGACTATAAAGCCGCATTCGACAGCACTATCCGTTCAGAGGTGTTTAAAGCCATTCCTGCAAAATTAATACGACTATGCAGGATAACTTTGAGTGACCCCTTTAATACCTAACGAGAATTCAGACAAGGTGACAGTTTGTCGTGTGACCTTTTTAACATCCTGCTCGAAAAGGTCATTCGAGAGGCAAAAATGAACGGAAATGACACTCTGTACACTAAACATTACATGTTACTCGCCTACACCGATGACATCGATATAATGGACCGAACATTGCGATCGGTAATTTTTCGGTATTTTCGTTTTTAAATCGAATTCGCTGAAATTTAGTACAAAGGGTTCATTTTGGGTAAAGAATGTCTCCACTAAAAATTATAAATATAATATATAAATTATAAATATCGTAACTCGAAATAGTCAGTTTTACCCTACAAATTATGAAATTCTAAGACGATTAAGCCATCGGTTGTAATCATTCCGCTTTCTAAGGTAATCGTGATAAAAAAAAACTCGAACCTGACGATAATGAAATATATCGGCCAGCATTTAGGTATCTCCCCCATAGAATTATATCTCCTGAAGTAAAGAATTGAGAAGCCAAACAAAAATATTGGGTTCGAAATTGACATATGTCAGTCACAGTCCTCATATAATTACACACAGCCCTCATATAATTATAACCCAAAATATTCGCTAATTCCTAATGTAAATTACAAAGGATACCATGTGTTATTAGTATCAGTCCACGCTTTGGGGTTTTCATTAAAAATTGTTGAAATTTGTATTTGGTGAACACAATGGTTTACATATGTTCCCCATATGGTAGAGGGTATCCAAAGTTCGGCCCGGCCAAACATAACGCTTTTTCACTTGTTTTTATTAAAATTTTAACATTTTTCTCCACTATGGGTCCATACTAATTAATTCCTTTATAAATTTTATTTAATTATTATTTTTATCATTTATTTTAACTACTCATTCTTCTTGAATTTATTTTCTTTGATTTTAAATTTCCGTTAACATTTATTTTTATTCATTACTACAAAAGTACTAAAATTCCATTTGAATCACTCACTTCGACTACCTTTTCCAACAACATGGGTTTGTTTTGGTTGCAATTCTCTTTTCCGTTTCTCGTTCTTATCAGAATTTCATTCGCCCTTTGTTTGTGCCAAAAAGAAAAATAAACAAGCACACACATATAGGAAACAGCTGCTGAGATGCTTCTGCGCCCTTCTAGTGCAGTCAACGGCGACGCCAAACGGAACGGAATAAACAAAAGACGACAATTTACACTCCCCAAAAAATCAGTTTTAATTCTCAGCTCGTGCCGTTCAAGTCGTAATCGTTGCGTTATACGGAAGGCAAACGGAAAGTCCACAGTGTGTGTGAGTGTGAGCGCGCCGCGTTTTATTAATGTTGTAAAGAATATAATGACGGTTGTTGCGTGAGCGTGTGTGTGTTTGCAAGACAGAAAAATACAAAATAAAACAAGCAACAGCAAAAAAAGTGTGTTCGAAACTCCAAAACGTATGTACGTAGTACAAGAAGAAGAAGCAAAAGCACAAGTGTAGCCATCGTCCGCCCGTCTTCATTTAGAATTGTGTGTGAGTTGCATATTAAAGAGGAGCAACAGCAAACAATCAAACCAACAAAAAGGAAGTGAAGTTTTTGTTGTTGTTGCTAGTGTATGAAAAAACGAAGAAGTAGAAAGAAAAAACATAAAAACACCAACAAATTTGACAATCCAAAAACAAAAAGAGGAAGTAGCATGACAGTCAATGTGTACATGTGTTGTTGTTGCTGCTGCCGCTGTTGAAGAAATATCCTCCAATTGGGAAGAGAGCGAGCCAGCCAACAACCTAGAGCAGGCAAATTTTTATCGATTTTCAAACGCGCAGTTGTAGTTGTCATCCGACAAACGATAAAAGCGGTTGTGAAAAATCCCATGAAAAAGAAGTGTCCGTCGTTGTGTCTGCTGTGTGCAAAAATATTTGTGTTTTAATTTTTTATAAAAATTATGCAAAGAAAATTTTTACAACAACAACAAATTTTAGTTTAAATTGAATAAAAATAAAAAAATAGTGCAAAAATGTGAAATATAATTTGTGTGCAAGAAAAAATAATAATTACAACAACAACGACATCAGTGAGCAATTGTTATTACTATTTTTTGTTAAGTCTTGATTTTTTTGTTTCATTTTACAACAACACAAAACCCCCCAAAACAAAAATTTCTAGTTGGAAATCAGAATCCTGCTTGCTTGCTTTTCGTCCAATCTAGGCGTAGTAATAAAGGTGTGTGTGCGTGCGTGTATTTGTGTGTTTAGTCTTGATGAGTGAGTGTTGCGCCGCCGTGAGTTAGGTGTAACGCAAGGAAAAGGGAAAAAAGTAAAAGTGCAAAATTTGTGAGAAGAAAAAAAACGCACCACCATCATCCAACAAGAAAGAAAAAAAGGCGGCCACCACCATCACAACCCCCTCAAAGGCAAGAGTAACAAAACAACGAGAACAGCAGCAACAACAACACCAACATGAAAGTGGTTCTTTTTGCCAAAGAAAGCGATTTTATAGAAATTAACGAATAACAAACAAAAAAGGAAAAATAAATAAAAAAAACAAAAAAATAAAGTTCAAGTTTGCCTGCGTCGTCGTCGTCGTGTTCCAATGCCATTGCAATTTGTGAATAACAAACAACAACAAAAATGAAAACAAAGTGAATGAGAATTGTGAATGTGAATTGATTTAATTTATTGTGAAAATTAATATTAAATTTTCTTATAGAATAGAGATATCTACCAACAAAAAAATTAGAATTGCTTTTTTGTATAAAACCAAATATTAATAACAATAAATTATTGTTGTCTCTGCCGTCGTCGCTGCAGCTGCTGAGAATGATGCTGCTCTCATCCATCCCAGCTTCCCTCACATGAAAACAACAACTTGAAACAATAATAACAACAACATCAAACATTGTGTTTAACTGATCAAACAGAGTTTTGTTTTGTATTGTCAGACAATAGTTATTGAGAACGAGTGTACGTACGGCTCCATTGCCGAGAGAGAGTGAGAGTGAATTTTTCAAACAAAAGAGTGCATAAAACATCAAAAAGGGGAGCAAAATGTGGACTCCATCGAATAATAAATACGGTGTCGGTAAGTGTCATTTATAGTTTTTTTTCTGTTATTGTTGTTGTATTTTTTGTATTGCTTGGGATGTTTGCGGTCATTATCATCAATTCGTTGATTTATTTCTCTATTTTTATCTATTGAGAATGACAATAATTATATACAATAATAATAATAGTATGATATTGGTACTGTATTATGTTATTAGTGTACTGTATATTATTGTATTCTTTTGATATAAATATAAGAGTAGAGTGGATTTTTATACCCTCTACCCCAAGGTGGAGTGTACATATATTAAATTTGCCATTCCGTTTGCAATATTCACCTTAGACCCCTTAAAATATACATGCTCTTGATCAGAATAAAAGTCTATGCCAATTTAGCCCTGTCCATCTGTTGAAATCACGACAGCGCTCTCAATATTTAAGATACAGCTTCGAAATTTTGTACAAACATTACTATTACTCCTAAGATGTTTGGTGCTGAAAGTGAGATTTATAGGTACATTTTTTGGGGAAGCCAACATATAACGGTACCGCCAATATTTGGTATTGAAATTTCATTTTATAATAGAGCATGCGATTTACAATAAACTTCGCATAACCTAATATTTTAAACAAACAAGTTTAATTTTAGAAGATGGGACTTATTGGTCCACTCTTTCTGGAACTTTCCCCACAAAGTTCACTTCTCAAAAAATTCTTTTGATCTAAACTCATTTTCGAGGAAGTGGTGGTTGTACAAAACAGCAACATTTTGATCGATTGACCCGAATAGCTATGATTTTTCTATACAGTATTATATTTTTAAACCAGAACAAATCAGAGATGACGGTATAGATTGTATACCACCTAACCAATAGCAATTATTCGGCTGAAGAATAATAATGCAGCAGGTGCCGATGGGTTACCAGCCGAACTATTCAAGACCGGTGGTCAGATGCTGATCGGGAGCATGTACCGAGTGATTTGTACAATTTGGCTAGAGGAATGTATTCCCAATGATCGGAACTAGGGATATGCCTCTGATTTTTGCCTCTGACCAAAAATCGACTTTTCGATGTTTTGATATTGCCAAAAATGTTCAAAATCGATTTTCGACTTTTACCAACTAAAGCAAAATCGATTAAAAATTTAATATTTTTATGAATTTAATTTTAATACGGCTATGCAGAATAATAACTTTAATTGGAACAAGGTCAGTAGTTAAAGCCGAGGGAAGATGGCCGTTTGTCGTGTGACCTTTTTTACATCCTGCTGGAAAAAGTCATACAAGATTCAAATGTGAGCAGAAATGGCACTCTGTACACCAAACAGCATACGTCGACGCCATCGACATAATGGGTCGAACATTGCGAGCGGTAACATCCACCTTTGAACAAATTAAGAAGGAATCTGCAGTAAATAGCGAGAAGACTAAGCTGATGGTATCTACGCGCAAGTGGATCTTGAAAACTGCAGCTTCGAGATAGTCAAAGATTTAATATATGTTCGGTACCGCCATAAATACGACTAATGACATTAGTTTTGAAATTCGGAAAAAATAGTGCTGGCCAACAGATGCTGCAATTTAGGAGATTTGCTACCCAATAAGAAATCAACGTACTAAATGTCAACGAATTCGGTTGAAAAACGATATCAAGAACCTCAAAATTCCGAAAATTGGGGGGTACCCTTATATGAGAGATATGCCTAAACGAACTTGATCTGCCTGCAGACAAAAGACAACTCTATGCAAAATTTTGGCGATCTATCTCTATTCGTTTAGATGCTAGAGTGATTATAACAGACGGACACGCTTAAATCGTACAAACGGAAAAACAAAACTAATATACCCTCCATACTATGGTGGAGGGTATAAAAATGAAACAAAATATTTTTAAAGCAGATAATAAGCGTTAAGTTCGACCGTGTAGAACTTTGAATATCCTCCACAATAGGAATACTGACAGTTACTTTAAATGAAAATATAGGAAACATACCAAAAGTTGTACTGTTATTGAAAACCCATAATATGGTGGAACATGTGAATAAAATACTCAAAATACTGCAATTTATTTATATATAAGCTTATCTCCAACGTACACAGGATTTCATTTCGGGGTAGAGGCCGATGTTCAATATGAAATGTTCATTGAAGAAATACATTTTTCGAATGCGTACTAAGTCGGGTCCAATATTTATTCCATCGTGTAGCAATTAGCGAATATTTAAAGTTATCATTATATAAGGGGCTATGCCTACTTGAGGACCGATATAGCTCAATTTCGAACCTAATCTTTTGGTTTCATATTTCAATACCTTCCTTTAGTTAAATCAAGGCTACTATAATACATGCCTACATCTCTAGATATTTAAAAAATCCTTTACCCACCACCTTCGAAGTTATAATATCAATCCTCTATTGTAGCCTTCTAATTTTTTATTAAATCCAAGTCTTTAGCTGTTAAAATGTTTAAAAAGAATCCACTCCTGTAGTCTTCTAAAATATTTGCACTCCACGCCTACAGCATTCCTCCACTCCAGCTATCAAAATAAAAAAAAAACAAAGACAATGCTTTAAAATGATCCACGTTCATATTTTTAATAATCTTCTCCAGAAGCCTTCCAAAATATTTAAAAAAAAAATGCACACATTTACATCGAATTTCAAACTTTTGTGGATCCGTACTTTGTTTTCAAAAACACTTTCAAATACATAACTTTTTCTCACCCTGTCGTAATTTTAATTTCCCTGATAAAAATAGTGCATTTATTTTTGTGTTAATAATTCACAAAGTACATACTCACTTAAATATATGTACATATGTATATATTTGTTTATCCACATAATCCTCATTTAATATTCTTTAATTCTCTCTACATATATTTTTGTAATATAAATGACATAAACATAGTTGTCACATTTAAGATGGATGATTATCCGAAAGTGACAACTTTTTTTTATCTACATAAATACAATCTTCTTCTTGAAGAGAGAGATTATGGACACATAAAATATACATTTGTAAACACAAACAGACACACAGATGCGAATATCTTAAAAGTACATATTATAACACATTATTAATTTAAATAGTTGATATTTGTTTGATGGCTGTAAATTACATTTCATACTGTTGCAGTTGTTGTTGTTCTTGTTGTTATAATAATAATTTATGTGGTCAATTTCTATGGAAGTGGACATGGACTAATTTAGACGCCATCTAATATTTCTAATTTGTATATTTTTTTTGTTCTTCTTTTTGCCACTGAGAATGAGTCATATGATGTGTGGTGGTTGTGGCTGATGGTGGTGGTGATGATGTTGGTTATGATGCCGGTTATTACATCTTTTCGGTTCACATCGTCATATTTTATAAATATCACATCACATCATCAGAATCAGCATCTCAAAGTTGTGGTATAAACAAAATTTAAATCTTTTAAATCACTACTACCTACTGAGTGCAATAATTTTTAAATAAAAGTAAAAATGTTTTTTGTTGTAAATTATTAAATAAGTTCGTCAGGAGGAACAGTGGTGGGAAAGCATTTGCAAATGTTTGTAACAGAGTTCTATCGCTGCAGCTCACTACGACTGACTGCGTATAAATTGTAAAGCTCGTGCTTCATTCGACGCCGATATTCACCATCGACGCAGATCGGCCCGTAGACTTTCGGAGAATTTTTCTTTCAACCACCCCAAGAGCTGTCTCATCTGCTTGCGCAAATACCCATGCTTCAGATCCATATAACAGCACGGGTAGTATCAGCGTCTTATAAAGTTTGAATTTGGTCTGGCGAGAGGTGGATTAGTTTCTAAACTGCTTACTTAGACCATAGTAGCATCTGTTAGTCATTTCCGGGAATGCCAAACGCAGACATGGCTTTAAACACCTCTGAACGGATAGGACTGTCGAATGCGGCTTTATAGTCGACGTGTGTCGATGTGTAATTTACAACAAATCCACGAAATATATATATTTTTTTAAAATCCACGCTTCAGGAAAAATATTTTTTAAAAATCCACGCTTCAGGAAAAATATTTTTTAAAAATCCGGGCCTGTCTGTATTGGCCCTTGAAAAAATATTTTTTAAAAATCCACGCTTCAGGAAAAATACTTTTTAAAAATTCACGCTTTAGGAAAAAATATTTTTAAAAAATCCGGGCCTGCCTGTATTGGCCCTTGAAAAAATATTTTTAAAAAATCCAGGCCTGTCTGTATTGGCCCTTGAAAACATATTTTTAAAAAATCCACGCCTGTCTGTATTGGCCCTTGAAAAAATATTTTTAAAAAAAAATCCAGGCCTGTCTGTATTGGCCCTTGAAAAATATTTTTAAAAAATCCACGCCTGTCCGTATTGACCCTTGAAAAAATATTTTTAAACCGTGGCATACCGTTTGGTATGCTGCAGCACAGAGCGCTGTTCACTATTTTATCTCAGACGTAGGCTCCTCGCTGCACAATTTACCAAAAATCGGGAGCCCTATCTAAATCTGAACCGATTTGCACAAAACGTAGTATACATTAATAAGGACATATCTCAATACGTTGTGTTGCATCAATCGAATTATCCTTGGGAGTTTGGTGCGCCATTTACAAAAAAATCGGTATAGTGGAGATATATCTAAATCTAAAGCGGTTTTCATTAAACTTCGTATACATCAATGTGGACCTATTTCAATACGCTCTGCAAAATTTTGTCTCAATGGAAAAAATTTTGGTAAGTTTGGTGCACCATTTACCAAAAATCGGACAAAAGAATATATATGAGCTATATCTAAATCTGAACCGATTTCAACAAAACATCATAAATATCAAACAGGACCTAATTCAGTAGGATGTGCAAAATTTTGGCTCAATCGAAAAATATTGGGAGTTTGGTGTACAACTTACATATAATCGAACGAAACTAAATATGGGAGAAATTATCTAAAACTGAACCGATTTCATCAAAACTTCATGTACATCAAGCTGGACCTTATTCAGTACGCTGTGCAAAATTTCGTGTCAATCGGGCAAACATTACGAGTTTGGTGCA